TGACTGCCAACCTCCGTTGCCGCTCGTAGAGCTGCCACAGCATCTGAACCCATTCCATCATGATGGGGTGCGCATCTATGCGAAGATGATGACGATGCACCCTGCAAACAATGTCAAAGCGTTGCCAGGTACACGCGCCCTTGCAGTGATGCATGTTGTTAGTCACTGACTTCTGCAGCTATGAATATGCTCGAATCAGGCGTGATACCTGGACAGACCCAGACGATAGTGGAGTATAGTTCCGGCTCGACAGTCATTTCCATGTCGATGACTGCGCGTGTGATGCATGGAATCGACGACACCCGAGCATATCTCAGCAACAAGACCAGCAACGCCAAACTCAAGCTGATGCAATTCTTCGGGCTTAACATCACCTTGTTTGGTGGCCCGTCACAGCCGGATCCTTACGATGAACGGGGCGGCATCCAAACCGCACGTGCGATAGCAATGCAGTCCCATAACACCCTTAATCCCAACCAGTATGAAAACCACGACAATTGGGGCGCGCACGTCCGCTGGACCGGACCGCAGATCTTCAAGCAACTCCCCGAGATCAACGTCCTGTGTGCTGGCATGGGCACCTCCGGAACCATGACGGGACTGGGAACCTTTTTCAAGCAGGCAAAGCCATCGGTGTTGCGGCTGGGGGTGTGCACCGCACCGGGAGACCGAGTTCCCGGGCCGCGATCGTTCGTTCTTATGAGGCCTGTGGAGTTTCCCTGGAAAGCCGCAGTCGACATGATCGAGGAGGTCACATCTGCAGACTCATTCTCTCTGTCGCTGGATCTTTGCCGCGAAGGGATTGTTTGTGGCCCATCGTCCGGGTTCAATCTGCAGGGCCTGTTTCAGATGCTCGAGAAGCGCAAACGCGGGGGGACCTTGACGCAGCTGGCGGGACCGGATGGTTCTGTTCACTGCGTCTTCTTATGCTGCGACTTGCCGTATCAGTACATTGGGGAGTATTTTGAGAAGCTGGGACCCGAGAGGTTCCATCCCATCCAGAACGAGGTGAGCAGACGAATCATCCTCGGAGAATAAAACTAGATGCTAACCGTGGTCCACAGAAACTCACGCGGGTGGATCTTCATCGGTACGACGAGAGCTGGGAACGAAGTCCTGTCGTGTTGTTCACGCACTTCTACGAGGCCCCAAAGTCGTTCCCCCAGGGCCTCCTGAGCAACATCACCATCCGACCGGCGTGCTGTATCCTGGACCTGAGAACAGCCGTCGATTTCGATTCATGGCACCTCCCCGGTTCGGTCAATGTTCCCTTACGTAGTCTCAGCCTCCATACAGCGAAGCCGTTCGCCAATCCGGATGTGCTAGAGGCGCTCTGGCTGGAGATGCAGACGTTGTTCAGTGATGACAGCAAGCTCGCGCAGCTGGTTTCCCACCATGTGCTCGTGATCTGTTACAATGGCGACACGGCCCGTATTGCCACTAGTGTGCTGCGGGCCCAGGGAGTCCAGGCGGATAGTCTCCGAGGAGGGTATCAGGCGCTGAAAGATCACGGACTTTGGGAACAGGAGCAGGTGGATGGCAGCATGGTTGATGGATGTCCGAGTGTGTCTGTGTCGGTAAACAACTTGTCGCTTGCCAAAGCGTAGTAGGGTTGAATGAAGCTAGTCCTGATCGGGAAGGCATACTTAGAGCACTGCACTTGGCACTAGGCCGGATAGGGATGAGCAACTGATCCTCCCTTCTTCTCTCCTCATCAGTCTCTTCATGTCCATCATCATTTCACTGACGTTCATATCATAGAATCAGCTACACGCTATGACCTCTGGCTTTGACCGCAATGTCCAGCCATCCAATGCTAATCGCGAGTCATCTGCTCAGATGCAGTCCCGCTGGACGGACTATGCCGCTAAACTATCCGCGCAAATCTGCTCACCAGGCGCACATCAAACGATACACGCTGGCAAATGTGGATATATGCAGACTTATTATAATCGTCCTGACATGATACGCTCTGCTCCGTATTGTCCCACCGTCGAAAACGAACCCGGCCGCCCTGCGACAGCCCGACGGAGAAATGTCCGGATGGCTGCATGCGTCCGCATTCCACGCTAACCGGCGAAATGTGCTCAATTCTGAGCGCTAACCGGCCAATCAGTGACCCCAGTATGGAATCCATAGTAGAGGAGGTCATGTCTTGAGTCGGAATGCAATGTCTTTGCCGTCTTCAAGATTCTGGTTTCGCGAACAATTGGCCTGGGATGATTTTCGCTCGGGTGGTTTCCCTCTGCTTTTCATCTTTCTCCATGGACAGTGATGCAGCACGGCTTTCTGTTGAAAATACTTTCTTTCCCTCTTGACGTTCTATAGTGCCGTCAGGCTTGTTCACTACCTGGTACTGTTCAATATGGGTCTACCATGGCTGGACCAGCCGGTGATGTTGCACTCTTCCAGAGCAGATAGCTGCATGTTGGCCGCAGAGCAATGCGCCTACCGCAATGGACATTGGAGATATTGGTATGTCTTCGCGCTTTTCATTGTTTTGTTTACTCATGAGATTTCGACAGGTATCAAGCCGATCACGTCTATGCGCTGAACACGATATACTTTCTTTGCGCCACGGTTGGGGTGTTCATGATTATTCGGATGGTGGCCAAGTTTAGTCCCCTGTTTTTGCGAAGGACGGCTGTCTGGAGGAGGGCAACGGCCACAGGGCGTTACCTTGCCTATAAAAGTCTTCCCTTACCAGTTGTCTGTTTTCCCGCCACCGGGGTCTTTATCTTGATTGCTGTCGGGGCTGTCTTCTTCCTCGGTTGGTACACAGTCGAGTACGCTGGAACGAACTCTTCTGACGCTCTCCAGCAATGACCCTCGGCCCACAGCCATATTACTGGCCAAATACAGAGACTGTTTCTTATGGAGGCAGTCCTCCAATTGCGACCCGAGCAGGATGGATGGCACTGGGCCTGCTGCCGTTCGTCTTGTCAGTATGCCATTTTCAGTGATCGAGCCTTATTGACCGACAACAGGGCCCTGGGAGCAAAAGCCAATTTGATATCAGCGTTGACTGGGGTCACCCATGAAAAACTGCAGGTTCGTTTCATCCCCGGTCGTGAATGTGCCACAGCTGATTTATCAGATATTCCACCACTGGACTAGCTATGCTATGTTCGTCCTTGCCTTAGTGCACACGTTCCCGTTCATTGTTGTTCACATTCAGAAAGGCGACATGACGAAGCAGTGGAAGACGGAGATAACATACTGGACGGGGGTGGCTGCTCTGATACCACAGGCATATTTGACGTTTATGTCTCTGCCAGCGATTCGGTGAGCTTTGAAGCTTCTACTGGTTGCATATAAATACAAACTGACCCTATAGGAACCGATTCTACGAGTTCTTCAAAGCCACGCATCTTCTGGCCGCATTCCTGTTTATCCTCTTCTTTTTCTTCCATTGCGACTTTCGTCTCTCCTCATGGTATGTACCCTACAGCTGTTGCGTATGCAGTCTAACGTTTAACAGGGACTATTTCATTGCATCTGTCGCGATTTACCTCCTGAGTCTTCTTATATCGTTCGCTAAAACCCACCTCATCCATGGCCGTCACCGCGCGACATTTGAGCTTCTCCCTTGCGGCTTCCTCCGTATCACTGTCCCAACTGTTACCGTTGTGTGGCGACCCGCGCAACACGTCTTCATCCGTTTTCTCAGCCCTCGACTGGGTCTGCACAGTCTTACCGCACATCCTTTCACCATAAGCTCTACGTATCCGACGAAATTCGACTCAGCGATCAAGCCCACCTCCATGCCCAGTACATCGCTGGACTCGATCCCGTCCTCAAGCTCGAAGCAGGTACCGAGTAGGAGCATCTGCCCAATCCTGACATTCTACATCCAGCCCCGCAGCGGCATTACAGCCCGCCTTGCACAGCTTGCCCAGCGCCACCCTGGCTTCTCCATCCCTGTTCTTCTGGAAGGGCCATACAGCGGAATATCCAGAGATCTCGACATCACACGATTCAGCCATATCATCTTAGTGACCGGAGGGTCGGGAGGTGGTTTCTCTTTCGGGATTCTGGAAGAGGTCCTGCAGGGGGTGAAATCTTCCAGAGACTCGTCCACCGATGCAATTACCGATGCAGCGGGAGACAACTCTTCTAATGCTCTCCCTAGGATCAGCATCATCTTCGCAACTCGGTCTCCGGCAGTAGCAGACTGGTACACCAGTGAGCTCAATCGGGTCCTGCTGGACCAGTGTCCCAGCTCTTGCAGGATAGACGTCCACATCGACATCCATATCACTTCCCACTCCACTCCCCCTTTTAACCCATCACCCCCCCAGGATGCACGGGAAGAAGAAGAGAGATACGTCAAAACCCCTGAGGTGACGAAGAAGACCACTATCACCCCCTCCGAGAAAATGAAAGAAGAGACCCAGCCATCGAGCCCAACCACCACCCTTCCGATTACATACCATCAAGCGCGTCGACCAGATCTGTCCCAGCTCCTCTTCGCCACAGTTCCTGTCACCAGGAGAGGAGGTGCAGAGCAGAAAATCGGCATCTTCACGTGTGGGCCTGGGTCCATGATCAATGACGTTCGTAGTGCGGCGGCCGACGCGCAGTTGCGTGTTGGTAGTGGTAAGATGGCTGGCGTGGAAGAGGTGTATTTGCATACGGAGATGTTTTCGTAAGTTTCCATCCGCTTCTTTGTGACAGATGTTGTTGCTGACTGCGATGTCGCCTTGAAGATGGTGATAGATGATGGTACATATGGTGGTGCCGAGTACATATTGCAAATACGTTGTGTAGACCAGTATGTTGTCTGGGGGTAGAAGATGGGCATGAATAGCGATAAAGTATAGTACATAGATCTCTGCATATGATTCCTGAACAGGGTTTGTGCAGAAATGAACGACTATTCCCACTTTAGCATAGCATAGCGCTCACCTCATCACACGTATTGCCTAGACCAACCACGACTTTCATTATCCTCTCTCCTTCTGCCCTTCTCCTTAGCCCCTTGGCAACCTCTCCCCCAGCCAACACACACCAACTAACAGTGCGTTATTCAACATGGAAGACCCATTCAGCCAGTACATCCAAATAACAGAGCAAGATCGACGGCATCGAGCCCCCCCTCCCCCCTCCCCCTTACCAACTAGCCCCAAAAAGCAAACGCTAACAGCCTCGGAAGCCTCAACACCCCGATCATCACCATCTCGCTCCGCGCCGCAGACCCCCAATATGTCCTTGACCCCACTACTCTGGGCTTTCGCATACACGCTCACTGGACCTCAGACCAAGAAAGCAGCGGCGAAGGGCAAGACCAAACCTGTATCCTAGACTGGACCGGCGTGGAGGCGGGGCTCCTCTTATTCCGGCTCCTGCCAAGGGGGAATTATGAGCCAGTGACTTTCGAGCAGAATGACTCGAACACCAAGCCCCCGCATCGTCTTTTGAGCTTCGCACAGCTCGATGTCCCGGATCGATGGGTGCTTGCACCCGGGACCACCACCGCCCCGATGCATCCGCGCATTGAACGGCACGCGAACCATGGCCTACAGCCGGACGAGCGGTACGAGATCCTATGGCCCGGCGCTGAGATCCCTCGCTGGGAACTGGGGGATGCGAGAGAAGCAGCAGCCCCGGAGCGCAAGCGCAAGCGCAAGCCCAAGTCAAAGGTAGCCCCCCTCGTGATTCCCGGCGGGGCTCGATGCTCGTTCATGCTGAAGGGGGAGAGGGAGCCGGCGCCGATGCCGCGGGCATGGAGCCCGCCACCACTGGAGCAGACGGATCGAGTGTGAGTCCTCGCCTAGTGCCTCCCGTCCTTTCCTGTGCAATATACTTTTCTTCCCCGAAAATAACTGAAACGGGGAACCGGACCGGCAAGCCCTCAGCCACTAACTAACCCCCGGTTGCCAGTCCCGGCGCCCCAGTCCTCACCGTTGAGCTGAAGGCTACGACCTCGCACTGGAACCCAAGGAAACGCCTCCCCATAACATGGACGATAACGTATCACGGCACCGCCGGGAGAGAAGATGCTCCCCCCACCAACCCTCGACCCATCACCTTCCGCACCTACAATTTCTGTACTTACGGAGCCATCCGCGCGTATCGCCAGCGATACAAGGATGGAGAATGGGAGTCCTACGACGAAGGCGGGAGCTGTCAGTTCCCCAGTGGACCCGACGACCCCTATCAAGTGATCGTGGGCATGAAGAGAGAAAAGGCCGGCTTCATCAGCCTGCGGCCGGGGCAGACGTACTCGAGGTCGGTGCATCTCTACTCGCAAGACGATCTGCCGCCGTATCCGGCTACCGGGGAGGTCCTGCGCTATCGCTTCGTTGGCTGTGTACTGGACTGGTGGGATTGGGGCACGCTGGAGGAGCATGTTGATACGGTGGTGACCGTGCCTGGGTTTCTGGGCGGGGAGGTCCTTGAGCCCAGGGATAATGGGGGCGAGCCAGGGTGGTTGTGCCTGCTTCGAATCTGGTCGAGTTTACGGTTCTTTGAGGTGGCTTACATAGTCCCGGTGTGGAAGGCAGTCCTGGTGGTCCGTCCTACTGCAGAAAATGCTGCGGTAGAAGCAGAGAATGCTGAGTTTGGGTGAGACCTAACGCGATGACAGTTGCTTTGTCAGCAAAATACTGAATCTGGGGCACATTTAGTATCCGGATCTGTGCCAAACGGCGTGGGATTCAACCTGCAGTAGTCGGATCTGTTGATCAAAGGGCGAGAAGAGATAACCCTCTGGGCGTGGATCAGCAGGCTGGGGAAGATGGCCCCCTCAGGATCCTGTTGTTGCGCCCCAGAGTAGAAGTGCTGCAAGCGTATACTCCAGAAGCTGCACGGAGTAGATCAGAGTTCTTCTTCGATTGCAACATCTTAGACACGCAACACTCACCAGTGCGGGCAAAGCCCATCAATCTCAATCTTCACGTCAGTCCAAAGCACGGATTTCGACCTCTTTCTCGCATAGAAGCGAAGTATGACTGTCAGAGTGCCCAACACGGAGAAGAGGATGGAGATGGTGATTCTCGCGGCAGGTGTTGCGTATGTTCGTGACATGATGATAACAGCACCCCTCGAATGTCATCAGTATTATAGAAATTCATCATGAGATGACGGGTGGAACAAGGCTATCTTTAAAATAAGAGATTGGCTCGGATATAGACAACTCGTGCTGGAGCCACCGGTAATTAACAGAGGTAAGGACGATCTGGGGTGATCCTGGCCGGTTTGATACCGAAGGAGGCTATGTTTGTTTGTCTCCAGCCTAGTCGATCACCAACGGTTGCCTTTTCTTTTGCTTGATAAGCCTCACCGCTGCAACCTAATGCCAAAAGTACTCCTCCTCGCCCTCCTTTTTTCTTTTTCTTGTTCTTCTCCTTTTCCTTCTCCTTCTTCTTCTTCGTCTTCGTCTTCTTCCCTTCATTAAGTGCTCAATCTGCTAAGGATCATGACGTTGCTCTGGATTCTCGAAACCACTGCTGTTGTGTTGTTGCTATGGACAGCAGTTGAAGCCATCCGTCGCCTCTACTTCCACCCCATCGCCCATATTCCAGGTCCCCGCCTCGCAGCTCTGACATGGTGGTACGAGTTCTACTACGACGCCATCCAGCCCGGTCAATACGTCTTCAAAATCCAAGAGCTTCACAAGAGATACGGTACGTCAGAATCCGCACCATGCTCAATTCAAGCACCGACGCTCTTCAGGCCCCATCATCCGAGTCACTCCCGACGGGATCCATATCAACGACAGCGGCTTTTTGGACACTGTCTACGCGCCTGCAATGGTCCGAAGGGACAAGTACGACTATCAGCTGCGGAGTCTTCGCATCCCCGGTGGAGTGGGCACCACCGCCGGCTATCACCTGCACAGACTGCGATGGGAATCCCTCACCCATTTCTTCAGCAAGAAGAACATTTTGCATCTGGAAGGGTTGATCACGGACAAGGTCGAGCAACTGAAGCAACTGATCGCGACCCATGTAGCCGATAACACGCCGGTGAACTTGTCAGATGCATTTTTTTCCTTTTTCAACGAGTCAGTTGGCTGTCACCGTTTACTTGACAGGCATCTAGCTAGGCTAACCCACCCTCAGCGTTGTCACGAATTTCCTCTTCGCGCACCTGACCGACATACTGTCCAACGAATCCAAAGCAGTCATCCTCCGCCAGAACAGCAAAGAGCTCCTAATGGGCATTAACCTCAACAAGCACTTCCCGTGGATCCCCGATTTCCTCGAATCGCTCCCGCTGTCCATCAGCCGGCCGATGATGCCCCCAGGCCTCGTGGATATGCTTGCCCTCTTCGACGTAAGCTTCACTCCCCCATCCCAACTCCACAACCATCATCACTGAGAATCCAAAAGCGAGTCCGCAACGAACTCCTCGCTCTCACGCACACCAGATCATCAGCAACAGCAGCCACCGCCGCTAAACCCTTGGGCCCAAGAATCCGTCTTCGACTCCGTCCTCGACGCCCCTAACCTCCCCGACGCAGAGAAGACGCTCCCCCGCCTCGAACGGGAGGGCACCCTGCTCGCGCTGGCGGGGACTGAATCGCCCGCGCAGACCCTCACCGTCGCCTTCTACCACCTCCTCGCCAACCCGGCGCTCCTCGCGAAACTGCGCCAGGAGCTCCGCACGGTCCCCGCCCCAGCCTCGTGGACCCAGCTCGAACAACTCCCCTACCTCTCCGCGGTCATCGAAGAAAGCAACCGCCTCTCCTTCGGCCCGAACCGCCCGCATCGCCTACGAGCCGTTAACTTACACGCCTTCCGCGCATGCTGCCCCATCACCGTGCAGCCCTCCCGGTGCGCAACCTAAATCCTATGTTATTCCCCCGGGCACACCGATCAGCACCACGACGTTGAGCGCGCACACGGCGGAGACCGTGTTTCCGGAGCCGTGGGTCTTCGATCCGGATCGGTGGCTCGGGGATGCCGGGAGGAAGCGGCGCAGGTTTCAGATGGCGGTCGGGAAGGGAGGGCGGAGGTGTTTGGGGATCGAGCTCGCGCGCGCGGAGCTGTTTTTGGTGATTGCGGGGTTGGTGCGCGCGTTCGAGATGACGTTGTTTGAGACGGGGGAGGAGGATGTGGCGTTTCGGTGTGATTATCAGGTTGCTATGCCGGGGAGGGGATCGAGGGGGGTGAGAGTGAGGGCGAGGGCGAGGATGGGGGTTGGGAGTAGCTAAATTATAGGGTTTGGTCCTGTTAAGTATTGTAGCCCTAAACGGGCATCATGGAATCTTAGTGCTGAGTTTGGGAGAAAGACATATACTACGCCTCAGTCCAAGTCTTGTACGTATCTTTGATCTAGAAACGCTAAACTTTCCCTTGATTCGATATCAATATCAACATAACACCCTGTATGCCCAACCGTAACCTACATTTTCATACCACATTCCATAGGTCCATATAACCGACGCTACGCACCAGGCGACCCATATCGAAACATGCAGATCAGACTATCATCAACAACCTCTTATCCAAACAGACCTGCAGTACAATTCAGCCACAGTATAGCCAACCAAAGCATAAAACGAAGACCCATCTGCTCCTTATCCCGATAACAGCCTCACCAACAGACCCAGGGGTGGTTTCTAGACCAGTCTACCGCTAGACTAGACACCCCAATCCAAACTCCCCAATTCAACCAGGGCTTAACGTGAAGTCGACGTATAGTAGCCACCCCAAGCCCCAAGCTCACCCAGCAAGCCCGCCCGAGCAATCCACAGCAACCAGAGCAGCAGCAGCCAGTGCATACCGTACTGCACCCAAGGCTACTGTCCTGTACTATACAACGCAAGTAAATCCTCCCAACAGCAGCAGCTCATAAACGACCGACCACCACGACACAGACATACACACATACACACACACACACATTCCAGCCATAATAATCAGCCATATCCCCTCCTCCCTATCTTCACCATCTTCATCGGACGGTAGCATGCCCCCCCCTGCCTTGGAAGTCCCGCACACAGCACACAGTTACTTATACAAATAACACACACCCCAACTCAGCCCTTGCACCAACGAACCCCAACCAACCAACCCTTCCTTCCCCACCACCCAAACATCCTCCCCAACGAATCTCCACACCCATGAACCTGAGTATAATCAACCAGGACGACCACGACCATAAGCTTGAAACAGGAAACTCTATATACAGCGCAGTACATATGACCCGAAAAAACAAGTGGATTCTCTAGCCAGCCCGCAGCAGATCCGGTCCGCTTTACGCTGCTTCCCTTTTTCAGACACACACACAGAAATACAAAAAAGCAAAGGAACGGTATTACAGCTCTAGTCTATTCTCAATGACAATATGATAGGATAGCATAGCATAGTAGAGGAGAGACATAACCTCAAAGCAAATGTGCATGTGCATGTGCATGTGCAAGAAGACTGCTGGAGATCGCCGAAGGTCAAGGTTCTGGGTAGTGGGTAGTGGGTACATGGTCTGGATCTGGATTTGCATCTGGATCCTGGATTGAGAGCTGAAGGAGGTGTTCGTTCGATTAAGGGAATGTGGGATTAGAGTTGGAGTGGAGTGGTGTCGAATGGAGTGGAGTGGGTATGTTTGTTTGTCTGTATGGAGGTATGTATGTATGTATGTGCTTGTGTAGTGTAGTGTAGTGTATGTGTGTGTAGTGTATGTGTGTGTAGTGTATGTGTGTGTAGTGTATGTGTGTGTAGTGTAGTGTAATCTGTGGTAACGTAAGTAGTGTAAGCAGTGTAAGTAGCGGCATCAACCGCCGCATAAGTAGTCTATCGCCGAGCAAAATCATATTCCAAGCCCAAGCCCAAGTCCAAGTCCAGTCGCAAGGACCATATCCCCTCCCCGGTATCGAAAATCTCATAAAATGCATAACGCGGGGAGGATCTCCCCCCCAATCCATCTAACCTCCCCGCTGAATCCAGCCCTCAACCAGGCAAAGCGACATTCTTCCCATATTCTCAAGGGCAAACTAGGACCTCCCCTCCAGCCCCCCCATCAACCAAGCCCTCATCCGCACGTTCACCACCCCGCCAACTCCATAAGCCGGCACGATCTTGCCCATCCGCGCAAAACAGCTCGGCACATAATCCCTACGGATCCGCGCCACGCGCTCCCGCCACCCCAGCCCACCGGGCGGCTGCCGATTGTACAGATCCAAGCCCAGCAGATGCATGGGCGTACTGGCGAACTGCATGAGCGCGGGGCAGCTGAACTGCGCCAGCGCCGCCTTCATGCCGGGGGTGGCGGCGACGCGGTCGGGGATGTGCGGCGCCAGCAGGGCGGGGATGTTGAACGAGGCGAAGATGGTGATGCTGTCGCGCAGGCAGAAGAGGGCGTAGGAGATGCGCGGGACGGTGGGGGCGCCGGGGCCGGTGGCCGGGTGGCACGAGGCAGCGGTGGTGGTGTGTTGGGGGCGGGGGATTGTGATTGTTGGGGAGAAATTGGCGTTCGGCTTGGGGGGTGTGGTGACGGTAGTGCTGGGGGCATTACTGCCGGGAGGTGACGCCCCGAAGATCCTCGCGAATCGGGCATCCTTGTATACGCAGATGCCCATGTTGACGACCGTCGTCGACAAGAATTTGGCCGTGCCGGGGAAGACCGTCGAGAAGGGCTTGTCGCGCATCGTCGACATCACCGTGTCGATCGTGTTGGCCGTCAGGTAGGTCGCGGTGTACAGCGTGTAGATCAGCAGGAACGGCGTGCTGAGGAAGAAGGCCCCCGGGTGGGCGGCCATGGAGCGGAAGCATGAGGTGATCGTCTGTTGGATCGGAAGGCCCTTGGCTGCTTTCTCGATGATCGCGCTGGAGATTGTGACGAACAGGTCAGTGGAATCATCCCGAGTAAGGTTGTTGAGCGGTGGTGGCCTACCGATCAATCACGGTGATGACCGGGCAGGTGAGCGCACCCGCCGTCGCCGCGCTGGCGATATCCACCCCCAGGCGCGTCCCCAGACGGTCGGTGTTCCACCTCGTCGTAGAGACGGGCGATCGCTCGCTGATGGCCGACATACTCGTAGGAAGAGACGAAGGCGCTTCGGGGGCAAGTGCACTCCGCGTCATTTTTCTAACAGAGGGAGAAAAGAGAGAGAGAGGGCTGATTGCTAATATAACGTCATCCGGACGGTGGCTGGAGAAGACAATTGCCGCAGATTCCAAAATTGAAGAACGATGCAGAGAATAAAAGGCCTCACTCAAAATACAGACTACTAAAACATTGTGCTGGTCACCAGCGCACCCAGAATGTCACTTCTGCAAAAGCAAACGAACGTCAGCCAGTCAGCCAGTCAGTCAGTCAGCCGCAAAGAAAAAAGAAGTCGGGGGTGAGTGGGTTGACATGCACCAACGGACGAGAATCGCCCGGCCGGCATAATTTGGATGCGCCTCGGGAATTGTCCTCCGATGCCGGCCGATGCAATCGTTGTGCTCGTATTAATCAATCAATCAATCAATCAATCAATCAATGGGTATTCGAAATCCCGACCATTTTCAATCCAACCCTTGCGCGGTCGGTCTACTTCCCGGGTAAATATCCAAGGAACACACACTTTCATCACGATGCTGGATCTATCATTTCTTTTTTTTCTTCTTCTGGGTCTTCATACATACTGTGTACAAATCAATTAACATGCTCCAAACGCCCAACACAAATTAAACTAAGATTGTCTCCCAAATCATAAAACCCCTCGCTCCCTGGGCTTTCCGTCCTTCATGGCCCAACGCACCGTGTTCCCAGTGTCATTATGCATATGTAGCTCATTCAGACGTGTTCGCCTGGATCCCTTCCAAGGTGACGTTGACCGCGCCAGCTTGCACCAGCTACAACATGTTTTTTAGCAAAGCATACTCCCAACTACAACAAATCGAGGCCAGAACTTACGGCGCGCTGCAGGTCATCGATCAGATCGTCGACATCCTCGATACCCACACACAACCGGATGAGATCCTCCGGCATCGCTCGTTCCTTGCGCGTCTTGGCGTCGATGCTGGCATGGCTCATGCGGCAGGGCATACTGATCAGGCTGTTCACGCAGCCGAAACTCACGCTGATCGCCCACAGCTTGGCGCTTTCCACAATCCGCTCGCTGACACCCACATCACCCGTCTCAAACGAGAGAACCGCGCCCGAGCCGCGGGCCATCGAGTGGTGGAGTTCATACTGAGGGTGCGACCGCAGCCCCGGGTAGCGCACCTTGAAGCCATGGGTCTCGAGGTACTCCGCAATCCGCTGCGCGTTCGCCTGCTGCTGGTCCATGCGCACCTTCAGGGTCTTGACACCGCGCAGAAGCAGCCACGAGTCGAAGGGTGACAGACCGCAGCCGGACGCGTTGATGGGGAAATAGAGACGCTCGCCCAGCGCCAGGTCGTTCACTGCGATCACACCAGCCATGAGGTCGTGGTGGCCCGATAGATACTTCGTACCACTCTCGTAGACAATGTCCGCCCCCAGATCAAGCGGGTTGAGGAGAAGGGGCGACATCATGGTGTTGTCGACCGAGACGAGACAGTTGGGGTTCGCCTCGTGGGCGGCCGCGGCGATCTGGGGGATGTCGACGATCTTGATCAGGGGGTTGGTCGGGGTCTCGAGCAAAACCATGGCCGTTTTCGAGGTCAAGACCTCGCGCACCTTCTCGGGGTGGGTGGTATCCACATGGTGCACAATGATTCCGCCGTTGGTAGAAAGATACTTCAGAAGGCGGTTGGTTCCTCCGTAAAGATCATCACCGGTCACAACTTCATCGCCAGGACGAAGCAAGCGGGTGATCACATCCAGAGCGGCCATGCCGGACGACACAACCAGAGCGCGCTGAGCCGACATAATCTTAGCCAAGTGACGCTCGAGGTGAGTTCGGGTGGGATTTCCGGAGCGGGTGTAATCATATTCGCCGCCGCCGCCGCCGGAGGTTTGTTTGAAAGTGGCACTCTATCCGACTAGAATTAGCTATCGCTTGTACTTCAATTGCCTACCCTCGACGTCACACCGGGGGGTATTGCAGGACTGGACGGGCTGGTCGGTACCTGATAGATCGGGACGCTGCTGGCATTGTACTGATCATTGCTGTCCGTGTAGACCAGCTCGGTGGCGATATTGTAGCGTCTGACACCATGAGGGCTAGATGGAGCAGGAGAAGGAGGCAGATTGTGGCCCTCGAGGTCAACGCGAGGGAACGCCTTCTTAGAAGCGCTGAAATCA